CATGTTTGTAATTGTACCACTTTGACAACAACAATGTCTCTTGGAAAAACATGTTTGTAATTGTACCACTTTGACAACAACAATGTCTCTTGGAAAAACATGTTTGTAATTGTACCACTTTGACAACAACAATGTCTCTTTAAAAACATGTTTGTAATTGTACCACTTTGACAACAACGTCTCTTTAAAAACATGTTTGTAATTGTACCACTTTGACAACAACAATGTTATTATTTTCAGATAATCATTGTTGTTGTCATAGTGGTACAGTTACAAACATTGTTTTGTGATTTTTCACAAATAAACATTATAATTAATATTTTGTATATTATCTGGCCATCGCTTGCGTTTGTGTATTGCTGAAAATGTAGCTGTTAATAAATAGTATTGAACTTTATTTAACTTATTTATGAAGTTCAATTCTCAGCCCCCCTCTGGGTCCTCAACTCCTTAATCCGGTCTTCATTCCACGCACAGATTTAAAGTTCAAATCCTGCATCTCATGTGCTAGTCTCGTGTTTATTTAAATTGTGTCATTTAGCAGTTTTTGTCTTTAAAAACTCTTGATCCCCGTGTAAAGATGACTTCAAGACATTGTTACTTCGTTCAACAACTTGCTTCTTCAAGACATTGTTACTTCGTTCAACAACTTGCTTCTTCAATACATTGTTACTTCGTTCAACAGCTTGCTTCTTCAAGACATTGTTACTTCGTTCAACAGCTTGCTTCTTCAAGACATTGTTACTTCGTTCAACAACTTGCTTCTTCAAGACATTGTTACTTCGTTCAACAACTTGCTTCTTCAAGACATTGTTACTTCGTTCAACAGCTTGCTTCTTCAAGACATTGTTACATCGTTCAACAACTTGCTTCTTCAAGACATTGTTACATCGTTCAACAACTTGCTTCTTCAAGACATTGTTACTTCGTTCAACAATTTGCTTCTTCAAGACATTGTTACTTCGTTCAACAACTTGCTTCTTCAAGACATTGTTACTTCGTTCAACAACTTGCTTCTGTTGTAACTATTCTTTGAACTATCAACATTTTTAGAATATTATACACTAACTTCCAAGTTTTCAAAACTTTGTTGAAAATAAAAACTTAAATGAAAAGAACAAAAACGTCTTAGCATTCCATGATTTAACTATTTAAGTTAGACTTATATTTACTGTAACAATGTGAAAATGGAGTGCAAACAAAATTTTACAGCAAATCAAAAAATCATATTTATGTTTTTATTTTAAACATTGGTCAGCATTTTAATTACTGATCAAAGTTTGAAGATGTGCTATTTAACAAATTACATTCCAAAAAGAAATAAAAACGAGAATATATTGTTGACACAATAGGGTTTGTTTGTTTTACAGCAAAGCTTCATTGCTGTATCCACTGCGGGGAATCGAACAGAATAGGGTGTCTGGTTTGCTCATACTTTGTAAAAACAAGAATATGTTGACACAATAGGGTTTGTTTGTTTTACAGCAAAGCTTCATTGCTGTATCCACTGCGGGGAATCGAACAGAATAGGGTGTCTGGTTTGCTCA